CTCACTTGATTTAATATCTAAATGGATGAAAATAGGTTGTTCCTTGTTATATTAGGGCTTAGTTTTTGCCCCTTACTCTTAATCTTATCCTAATCCCTTCCTTCAAAAACTCTGGTTCCATCATCTATTTTCAATACCTTCTAAACATCATTTTCCTCCACATCACTGTTCCTGCACCTTCTCATTGTCAATATATATTCTGAATCAAGTTTGTAGCTAGTTTTTCTCCCTATCTTCCCTCTTATCTCTTTGGAATCACAACTTTCTTCATCCCTTAAATGCCTGCCATGTGTGTAACACTCCCAATTTACATCTACTGTCCATCCTTCATTAATTCTCGGTCCTCATCTTATTTGACCAATCAGTAGAATTTTATTCAGTTGATCACTCTTTCCTCCATAAAACATTGTCTTCATTTGCCTTGGAAGACACACACACTTTTGACATTTTCCCAACCTCAGTGATTTCTCTTTAGTGTCTTTTGCTGCTCCCTCCTCTGTTTCCAGCCTTCCTGTTGAAGTACCCAGGGTTGGTCCTTGGTCTTCTCTATGTACATCACTATGTTGGTAATCTCAATTAGTTTCATAGCTTTAAATACCACCCAATGTGCTAGTAACTTCCAAATGTCTATCTTGGAGCAGTTTTCTCTCCCAAACTACACACTCATAAATCCAACTGCCTACTAAGCACCTCTGATTGTCTAACAGACATGCAAGCTCATCATACAGGACTTTGAACTCTCAATCTTACCCTGAAACCTATTCAGTAAATAGGGACTTCCCTATCTCAACTAATGTCAAGGCCGTCCTTCTAGTTGTATAAGCAAAAATCCTGGAGTCATTCTTGAATTCTCTCCCACACACCCTCTTTACTTCTGTCGGGAAAACTTGTTGGCTCTACTTCCAAAGTATATCTAGACTCTGACCCTGTCTCCCCCTGCCCCCCTCTACTGCAGCTATCTTGGTCTGAGTCACCAGATTACTGCAATAGCCTCTTAACTGTTCTTTGTGTTTTTACCCTCGCCCTACTATAATCTATTCTTAATACAGCAGCCAAAGTGATCCCTTTAAAATGTGAGTCAGACCACGTCATGCATTCACCAAAAATCCTCCAACAGCTTCCTGGTTTATTGAGAGTAAAAGCCAAACTCCTGGCAATGACCTACATGCCCTGTAGGATCTGTCCCTCCCATTACCTCCGTAACCCCGACCACTGTGTATCTCACTCACTCATTCCCTTTTCAGCCACCGTCCTTCTTGCGTTTCCCCAAATAGGCTGGCACTCCTCTGTTTGGGGATCTTTGCTCTAGCTTCTCCTCTGACTGCACTACTCCTCCCTCAGACACCACTTGCCTAAACACCTCGCCTTCACGTCGTTGCTTGCACATCACCTGCTCGATGAGGTCTACTCTGATCACCCTATACCACCTCACCAAGTAGGTCTGATCCTCCTGATCCTACTTTTTCTTATTTCCATGTCACTTAATCTCTTAGACTGCAGGCTCCATGAGGAAGGATGGCTTTGTCTTGTCCACTAACATAGCCTGAGTATCTTGAGCAGGGAGGCATATACTGGTGCTCAGTGAACACTCTCTAAGTGAATGAACAAACAAATACGTGAATCAGTGATGCATGTCCAAGTCAATACTGAACCCTCAGCAATCCACCTCGGAACATTCCTCTGCTCCACAGCTAATGCTACTTTTATTACCTCACCACTGAGGCTTTGAAACTCACTGGTTCTGCACTCATCACTTGCTATCTGTCCACAGACCAGTATCTCTTACAATGTTGCTCATGTCATCCCCATGCCCATGTTGTCATGCTTGGACACTTTAGGGCTCTCAGGCCCCTTCCCTTGGTCTATTCTTATTGTCTTTACTCACTGCCATGTCCTACGTGAACATCTGCTTCCTCCTCACACTATAACCTGCCTGCACACTGTTACCTCCACTGCTTTGCCACAACCCATATTCCTACCCTCAGTGCCCTCCCCCGGCTCCTCCCTAGATGTCCATCCCAGTGCACTTCCTACTTCCTCTGCAAGGCTTTCCTGACCCTCCAGTTCACAAAGATTTCTCCACTCCCTACATTCACAGTCCTTATAGTATGGACTCTCCCCCACCACACCCCCCTCAGCTGAAACAGCCCTATACTGCCTTGTGGCAGCTCTTAGAGGTTTTTTTTTTTTAACTACATTTTTATATAACTCATGAATTGTTATGTAAAATTTCTGTGGATAAAAGTTTGGGGAAAAGGGAACATTTAATTTTTAATTGTGAGGCTGATTGATACGTCTTCTCTCTCTGTTTATATTATAGGCTCCCTGAAGGGGGAAATACTTCCCTTAAACTTCCTTATATCCCATAGACTCAAACACAGCACTAAGCATCTGTGGATGAAACAAGTGCTTGCAGGGTAGTTGAATGATTCAGAATTCACAGAGGGAGGAGGCCACAAATGCTAAGGCATGTTGCTGGAGCACAATGATCAAAGGAATAAAATAATGGAGTCAACCGAGGTTAAAAATAAAAAACTGTGTAAGGGGGGTTAGTTTCTTTTCATTAACCATCATTAATGTGGCTGGTAATTTGAGAATATGAAGCACTAACTGATTTCAGTTCTTTACTTACTAGTATAATCAGGTTGTTTTGTGCAGATATTTTTTCCGATTTGAAAGAGGGGAAAAATGCAGCTCTTCAGTGCAGCAGACGGGACCCTGAAGCCTTAAGTCTGAGCCCTTTTCTACTGCAGTGAAATGGCCACGAGGCCCACGAGACCACTCTGCCGGGCTGGGGCCCAGGAAAGGTGCTTTTATCAGGTGACCAACAGAAGATGCAAATGAGGACACTGTCTGAGTATCAGTGTTTGCACTTTGCTCCTCACTGTCTTTTTTTTTCTTTTTCCATAGAGGAAGGAAAGGGAGAGAGATAGAAACATCAATGATGAGAATCATTGACTGGCTGCCTCCTGTACACCCCATACTGGGGATGAAGCTCAAAACCGGGGCATGTGCCCCAACCAGGAATCAAACCGTGACCTCCTGGTTCATAGGTCGATGCTCAACCACTGAGCCACGCCAGCTGGGCTGCTCTGTGGACAATGCAGAGGGGCGGAAAGCAATGGCATTAATGTTTTGTTAAAGAGATATCATTCAAATACAAGTGTTGACATGGCCTAAGTGTTTGAATGAAACTTTATGGAGGAAAGATCTGAGCTCTTATCTTCTTTGCTCGGGAACAGGGCTCCAACCCCTTTCTTCTTCCTGTGATATGTAATCTAGTTATCTTGTTAAACCTTCAAGTCCTTTTCTGCTCAAGTGCTACACAGGGACCTAAAGATCTGGGAGGCTATGATAGCATCTCCGCACTTCCTCCTCTCGGTGAGGCTGGTGGCCACAGTGAAAAACACGAGTACCCGTTAACTACAATTTGACACCATCTCGAAGGCACAAATCTTGTCAAGACCCAACCTTGAATGTTTAAATCAGTGGAGCAGAAAGGTGGTGGCCCAAGACTAAGGGCCAGACAAATGACGTCAACTCAACCCCTTACAACACAAAAGACCAAGTTTTGAGAGGGCAAGTGGCTCAGAGCTTGTGTCTGTCCTGCTGTCAAGGAGTTTTGTAACGATTTCTAGGTTCTGTCCCAGACCCAGGAAACCCGGGCCAAGAAGTTCTGTCACCCCAGCTTGCATCGTCTGCTCTAACAGTCCCAGCATCACTCTCGTCACTGGAGGGTAGCAAAACCGTTCCCCGGATTACTAGTCTGTGAGAAAGACAGTCACCAGAACCTCTGACATAATAAATTAATGATGCAATAATCACCCCATTCTCCAAATGTGCAAGTTATTGGTATCTCAATGCAAATGTAGAAAGAAGAATTTAAATCTCATGTTGTAGCATCATCACTGCAGTATCTTAATTATGGTACTGTTTCAATCGATGGAGTTATAATTCAGCACCCTTCCATATGTGAGAAGGCCATTTTAAAAGGCCCATTTGCCAAAAAAATCCAAGTGGTGGTAGAGGCCACGAAGCCATCACTGCCAATTCTTAATACTCTCCTATCTTTCAGGTGGGGGTTCCCGCATGTTCACTGGCATCTAAGCTCTAACCGCAGAAGCGTTGCCCTGAGGAAGTCATCTCTGCACTGAGACTGTATTCACAGACTCGTGCAAACGAGCATCAAGGAGCTCTGTTTCATGACCGCCCACTCTCCCAAGCTGCTACTTTGCAGAAGCACCAATGGCATTTTGAGAAGACTCCGGCCCTCGTCCCAGCTGCGGGTAGGGCACTTTGCTTTCATGGTCAAAAGAGTAGGAAGCTGTCCTTTGCTGCCCCTGTGCCCCTGCAAAGCAGGTCCTGACCCACATCTCCTAAGAGGTTAGACTGAGCGAGAGAAGACCACAGCACTCACACCAGGCCACAGCACAGAGCAGCATTCTCAGTTAGCAAACCTGCTCCCCCTGGCCAGGAGGAAACGCGCCCCCAACAACTGGGGATAACACCAGGAGATGCAAGGGAGGGAACATTCCAGGGAAAATTTTTTTAAAAAAAGGAAAAAGAAAGAAAAAGGGAAAAATGCACAAAGCCCATGAGGCTGCCTGGTTAACCAGGGGTTAGAGTGAGGTTTGGAAAATCACACATAACAGCATCTTGGCAAATCCAAAGACCCCGGGGTGAAAGACACGTGGGTGAAAGCATTTCTATTAGTGGAAACAGGAAGTTTCCTTCTTTCACCAACTTATTCAAAAAAATCTTTTAAATCTCTTTTGTAACCCAAATTTGGACCATCAATCATTTTTACCTGCCCAGCATTTCATCCTTCCAGAGTCAAAAGAGCAACAAAGACAGGGTCCGAAGATCCCTTCCCACAGCCAATTCCAATCAGCCCTTCTCTCCCGGGGTGACCTGTGCTCAGAGCAGACATTCCCAGCAGGCATGCCACACACAGCAAGTCGCCAAACCAGACTGCGCTAAAGGGCTTCCAGGGGACTTACTTGTACTTGTGCTGGTTCCGATCGTATTGATTGTGGTGGGGACGGATGAGGAGGAGTAGAGGGGCACATGGCCGTTCTCGCACCCCAGACTTTTGTCCTGCCAGTTGGAGGCGTTGATGCAAATCCCAGAATCCCGAGAGTTCTGCCACCCGTTGAGCTTGTCGTCGGAGTTCTGTCTTTGGTGATAGTAGTGTGTCTGCCCATAATCCACAGAGTCCGAGCGGCCTCGGTTCTGGCCACCGAAGCTGGTGGACGTGCGGTCCTCCAAGTGATTCAGCCACATGGCTAAAGCACTGCGGTCTTCCAACGAGGTGGCCGGATGTATCAACGCATAGGACAGCAGCTGCCTGCTCTCCTCGATGTGCTGGTTGTGTTCGATAGAGTGCGCCAGGATCTTGGGCAGCAGTTTCATATACTCTACTTTTGCGTCGAGGTTTCCTGGCTTCAGCAAAGGCAGGTGAGTTAACAGGAGGGAAATCACTTTATCCTTGGATTCCTGTTGCCATTGGTTAATGATTCCTGGGAAGGAAAACAGACAGGGCACGTAAGTAAACAAGGCCACAACGACACAGAACACCACACGGCAAAGAGAATGCCTGTGGGTTAGCGTCCCCATCCAGGTGCTCTGACTAAATTTTCTCAAAACAGCCCATGCATCAGATTGGATAACTGACCTCAGATTGTCAGGGGGCAGTGCCTTCAGTAAAACAGGGAACAAACGTTCTTAGATGTTTTTGGTCCTTAATCTACTTTTCACTTAGGTCTCCAAAGAGGCTACAATTACTTTGGTACAACCAAACAGAATCACAGCCCTGGGTTTTGTTGTTGTTTTCTTTTTCTTAGACATCTTCTGATAGATGGGGGACGGAGGAGGAGATACAGAATACTAAAATCTCTATAAAAAAGGCAAGTTTAATCAAGGGTCCATATACTGGAGTCCTTGAGGATAAGGCTGCTTCCCACCCCTCCCCCACCTCCAGATGTCTGTGGAAAAGTGGTTTACATCCTGGTAAAGGCATTTGTGTGAAGTTGGTAAGACTTCTGAGATGGAGAAATATGTCAAGGAAAAAAAAAGGACTCCCCTCATCCTCGTGAAGTAAGCCTGCACCTCGCTCCTAAGAAGCTGACTCAGAAAACGACTGTGAGCTCAAGTCTCAAAGGAGCAATGAACTCAGGCCCCACCGCTGATCACGTATGGAAGCTAGCTTTCTCCATGTATACAAGGTCTGTCTGGTTGTCTCTATTGTGGTAAAATATATGTAACATATTTATCATTTAAACCATTTTTTTTAAATACGTTTTTATTTATTTCAGAGAGGAAGGGAGAGGGCTAGAGAGATAGAAACATCAATGATGAGAGAGAATCATTGATTGGCTGCCTCCTGCCCACCCCACACTGGAGATCAAGCCCGCAACCTGGGCATATGCCCTGACCAGGAATCAAATATGACCTCCTGGTTCATAGGTCGACGCTCAACCACTGAGCCACACCGGCCGAGCTAAATCATTTTTAAGTGTACAGTTCCGTGGTATTAAGTCCATTACAATGTAGAGCAACCATCACCACCATCCATCTCCAGATCTTCTTCATCTTCCCAAACCGAAAGTCCATACTCATTAAACAGTAACTCCCCATCTCCTCCTCACCCCTATCCCCTGGCAACCACCATTCATTCTGTCTCTGTGACTACTCTGGGTACCTCATATAAATGGGTTCACACAGTATTTGTCCTTTTATGACTGGTTTATTTTATTTTGCATAATGTCTTCAAGGTTCATCCATATGAAGATCTGTTTCTAACACACTCAAAAGGATCTCTTCAGATCAAAACAAACCTGCTGCCTTTAGGTAAACATGGATATACAATGCACTTCGCCTTGACTGGCCTTTGAGAAGTAGCTTGTCCTGGGGACCGAGCTATCCACAGGACCTTCGGCCACAGGAAAGAAAGCTCTCTTCTAGAAAAGTCATTCCTGATACCTGAAAAACTCAATTTGATGTCCCTACAAGGAGAGGCAGTCCTGCTGGCTTTCACGCAGTATCTGCAGGGTTGAAAAGGGGTTTCTGGGATTGAGCATAAGGGCTTCACAATTCTAGCAAGGCAGAAACATATCAGAATAAATTCCAGAGACATCATTGACTGTAAGTTGCAAATGCACGTACTCTGAAGGCCTCTCAGGACCACAGGGGTGTATTTGGAGAAAAGTATCGGCAAGGTATGTAATGAAAAAATGTGGGTTTTGGAGTCAGGCAAACCTGGGCACGAATCCCAGATCTGCCACTTAATTTGCAGTGGAGCCTTGGTCAATCGATTACTTAACGTCTCTGAGCCTCAACTCTCTCATCAGTCAAGAGTGTTACCAAGAGCATCTGCTCTCCTCGTGTTGTACGATTAAATGAGGTAATGTATCAAAATAACCATTCAAGTACTTGATGGTGGAAATAATTCCTTCTACTTGTCTCTATATTAGTCAGGCCCACAGTAGAGTGATAGTGGGTGGTTTTGGATACCAAGTTTTTCAAAAAATATATTTTTATTGATTTCAGGGAGGAAGGGAGAGGGAGAGAGAGATAGAAACATCAATGATGAGAAAGAATCATTGATTGGCTGCCTCCGGCACACCCCCTACTGGGGAGCAAGCCTGCAATCCGGGCCTGTGCCCTTGACCAGAATCGAACCCAGGATCTTCAGTCCGCAGGCCGACACTCTATCCACTGAGCCAAACCAGCTAGAGCTGGATACCAAGTTTTAAAAATAATGGACCAAAGACGACCCAGCAAAGGTCACACAACCTCATCAGAGTTGGAAAAGGGGGACAAAGTAAAAAGGTGAAAGGCAATGGGGTTACTGAGCTTACAATTGAACAATATGAAAAGATGTTGACTCCTCTCCAGTAGAGATCTCTAAGGAGATGAACAGTCATTTGGAAGTGGAAGTCTTCAAATTGAGGCAGGAGAGATTAAGATGGGATGTGGAGAAGAACCAAGTGCCAGAATGACAAAAGACCCAGAGGAGTCTCCAAGAAAGGCTCTACAGTCTGTCCTGGGGGCACGAGGAATAGAACTAGATGGTCTACGGAAGTGGATAGATATTGATATGGACTATGGAATTTCACATAAGGAATTTTAAATTTTCTAATATTCAAAATTAAAAAAGGAGGTGAAATTAATTTTAATGATAAATGTTATTTAATCCAATATGTCAAAATATTATTTCAACTTGTAATTAATCTAAAGTTATGGATGAAACATTTTCCATTCTTTGCTTTGTATGAAGTCTTTGAAATCCAGGGTGTATTTTACCACCAACAGCACAACTCAGCGTACACTAGCCACAGCCGGAAGGCTCAGAAGCCATGCGTGGCTGTGGCTACTGCACTGGCTTGCACAGTACTAGAGACATTCAGATGGGAAGGCGGGTGGGAGGGTAGAGATGACCTCGGCAGGTCCCTCCCAGCTCCCTGACTATATTTAGCTAACTGCCACCTGACACAAGACAACCTTCATGCATCCCACTAGGTATAGCCTCCCTTTTAAAGTCGCTCCGGGAGATAGAAAAAGCACCAATTCTAACTTTCTTATCAATACATTTTCAGCAAACCTGGCTTGTGATAAATCATGAATATGCTTGGGATGAAGACACAATCTCTTCATTAAGCCCAAGTTGCTCGACAGGCACTGGCAAGAAGCAAAAGGGCCCGAGAGGAAGATGAACCCACGTCCGACGCCAACACTGATCAGATGCGGCTAGTGTACGCCCTGGAGATATGTGTTTAAAAATACAATTTGGGAACAACCTTGAATAGAAATGCACGAGGCTCAAGGAACTCCCTAGCTTTCTGCTAGGTCACTTCCCTGTTTGGATACTGTCCCCTTCCGCAAAAGGTCATCTAAAAAAAAAATCAGGAACAAAAACAAACCGTAAACAGGATTCAGAGTACAAACTAAACATGTTATGCCCGCGAGCCTCTCTGCCAGGCATTAACCTGGCTTCCAGAGGAGCAACAAGCACCGCAGAGAGGAAAGGGACACGAGGGGCCGCTGCCCGGTCCCGTCCAGGCCTGAATCCGTTCTTTCTCTGTCCTTGGGACAGCGCTGGGACGGGGTGGGGCTGTGACGTGGCCAGGAAGACAACTATGACTTTGTTTACCTGCCGCTGGGAACATGGACATAGGACTGCCTTCCGAGGGCCAGCTACACCGACTGGGTCAAACTGTTTCTGTCACTGCCACAGCGGCCAGGCTGCCAGCTGACAGGACTCAATGTTTTCTGCACACCGCACACTCTTCTAAGTGCTGTCATGTAATTACTCACTGAATCCTCACCAGAACCTTGGGCGGTAGGTCCTACAGCCTTCTCTTACAGATGAGGACACAGAGGCACAGAGAGGTCAAGGAACTTGTCCCAGGCCCCCTCGCTGGTGAGATGGCAGAACGGGAGTATACAAAGTAGCATAAAGATGCATAAGGGTTATCATGCTAGAAGAGCTTGAACATGCTAAATGCATTAATATTTATACTATATGTAATTACATAATACATAAAATATATAATTATATACATATAACAGATGATTAAGTATACAATTAGTGTACTAGTATTATTTTTATAAATATAATACAAGTATATTTATAGAGTAGATAGATCAGAAGAGTTGGTCAGCTATGGAAATAGAGGAAAAAAGGAGTTACAGAGACAATGTAGGTGATACCTATTGTGGTTTTAAAATATGTGCACAATTTCCTTGACACTCTTCTCCAAAAGGGGGAGCCTACTTAATTCCCTTCCCTTTAAAGGAAGACTGGACCTAGTGAGTCACTTCCCTCAACTAGAAAGTAGCATGACAGCGTGTGACATCACGAATTAGGTAACCAGAGGCACTGCAGCTTTGGCCTTGCTCTCCGGGGTCACACACTCTGGGGGAGGCCATGCTGTGTGGACACTCCAGCAGCCCAACAGGGAGGGAGCTCTTGCTGATGAGGAGCTGGGACCTCCTGTCACCATCCAGTGCCAGCCGGAAGCCATGGGAAAGGACCATCTTGGAAGCAGAAGGCCCAGCACTGGTTCAGCCTCCAGGTGACTGCACTCCAGGAACCCTGAGCTAGCACCATGCGTATTCTTGATCCATGGACTGTGTGTGATAACATGTTTATTGTTGTTTTAAGCTGCTATGCTTTGGGTGCTTTGTTATGTGGCCAGAGATAAGGAATACACCTATCCGAGTGCCCCTCTAGGAAAAAGGAAGTTTAGGCATTTGGCTTTGAGTAGTTCAGTCCTTCGGGCAAAGTCATTTCCACCATGAGATGAACTCATGAAGCTAACCTGTTGCTGCTTAGCCTCACTTATCCTCCCTCATCCTGATTATCCCTTCACCAAACAACCTTAGGTCTATGATTTAGCTTCCCAGGTACCTTCCGGGAGAGAATGAACTGATCACACAGACTTGATGTATTTCTAGATTCTGTGATGATGATTTTTCAGGGCAACTTAATACTTGTAAATGGTTTCTGATTATGATT